AGCCTTTGTTAATATATATATATCGCAGTGCTGTAGCCTGCCTCATCTTAGGGCGTGCTGTTACTGTTCTCAGGTAAGGAGTAGCTTAGTGGTGTGAATCTAGGCTTGTCTGTTCTTGGCTTCTTGGAGACCGTGACGTATTCTTCTTCCTTGAGAAACAACCTTTCCACGATTCATCTGTGTTGATCACTCATATTGACCTGACTATTCTTTTGTGGAGTTCAATTGCCCCAACCATATCTGTAGCTCTACCGCTGGTTCAGACAGCACTGTTCTCACAGTGCTCTTAGTACTGCTGTAGCTATTAGTCGCATACTTTAAACTAGCACATGAGGTGGATTAAGCTGATCATGAGGATATGCAATGTCACTACAATTTTCTCTGTTTTTCTTCCTCCGAAATCAGACGCTTGATGTATACCAACGCGGATCACTTGAATGTTCTCTGTGATATGTATGATTGTTGGCCAGCCTGGATCATGGCTACTTTTAAACATCCTTTTGGCTTTGAAAACTCTGCGGCAAGTAGTAATTACGGGCTGCTGAGATGGTTTGCTCGTCATGATGCAAAATTGCTAATTACGTAGAGTACGTATAAACTTCAGGCACGTACCTCTATAAATGACAAAATCTGAGCCGATGCTGCTAGCATGGCATGCAACAGTACGTTTGGTGGCCATCATCGACGGCCACATGTGCTTTGGATTATTTTATCAACAGCGACGTGTTCTCGCCGTCGACGTACCTGGAAAGTAAAATAAATCAGCAGTTAAATAATCTGCTGGGAGCTGTGCTGCGCTAGCTTGCGCGGAGCCGTGAGCACAAGTCTAACCTCAGCTCCTCTTAAAGTTATTTTTATCTCACACTAATTTTAGGAGCAAATAGTATCTTTGGAAGTCTTTATGAGTTGATCTTGTTGCTTTTTTTAATAAATAAAATCTTTATTCCAGGTTACTCTTCTACAATAATTTGGGGGTGGACTATTCATAAAATATTTGTTTGTATTTTATTTGTTTGATATTATAGATGTTGATATAAATTTGGCCAAACATAATTTTTTGCCTTTGCCTTTGAAAATGGTAGTACCTTGTATTTTGGAACGGAGGTTAATTATCTTTTGGATTAATGAGATGCAAATTGTACATTAATATCAAGTATAGTTATTTCCTACTCCCTTCCATCCAAAATAAATGTCATGGTTTTAGTTTAATAGAATGTTCCTTTTCTAGCAGCTATATGTATATGTCAAAGGAAGTACTATATGCAAGGCAAATACTCTATCCGTCCCAAAATGAGTGTCTCAAGCTTAATACAACTTTGTACTAGAGTTAGTACAAAGTTAAGACACTTATTTTGAGACAGAGGGAGTAATTCCATAGTGGTGAGAATGGTCTTGGCACCCAACTTCTCCCGCATCTTCTTGCCCTACATGCCTAAACGAAAGGCGATCATGATGGCCTGCGGGGAGATTCCTAGAATGGCATTGCACACTTCACTTAAGCGCTGAATATACCGACATAGGTCTCTCCCGAACGTTGGATCATGACGAGGAGAAAACCGAAGCACTGAATATACATTGAGGCTTGCAAGTGACCTGGAAGTTGCGACAAACTTGTCGCGCAACTCCTTCCGCAAGCTGATAGATGACTGAGGCAGGTTCATGAGCCAAGACTAGGATGTTCCTTCAAGACCAGCGGGAGCCAAATTGCCGTTACCTTCTCCGTTCCACCCGCGTCATGCACAATCGTGGTATAGAGTTGGATATGTCGAAGTGTATATGTGTATTGTCTAGTCCTTTCCATCCGTTCAGACTTTTGGTTGCATTGACTAATGCATGAAGCTTATCATGGTATCAAGCCTAAGATATTGAGTTCAAGTCTTAACTTTCACAATTTATCCAAAAATTGTTGCTGCCCCCTATGTCTCCAGGCATAGGCTTCTTGAACCATACGTCTGAGTATATTCATGTGGTGACTTTCCCTGTCACATGTGAGAGAGGGGGTTGAAGTGTATATGTGGATTGCCAGCTTAACATGGTATCAGGGCCTAAGGTCATAAGTTCAAGTCCTAGCTTTCACAATTGATCCAAAAATTGTTGATGCTCCCCCC